GCGTCTGTGTGTAAAAGCGTCTGTGTGTAAAAGTCTGTGTGTAAAAGCGTCTCTGTGTGTAAAAGTCTCTGTGTGTAAAAGCGTCTGTCTGTAAAAGCGTCTGTGTGTCAAAGCGTCTGTGTGTAAAGCGTCTGTGTGTAAAAGTGTTTGTGTGTAAAAGCTTCTGCGTGTAAAAGCGTCTGCGTGTAAAAGCGTCTGTGTGTAAAAGCGTCTGTGTGTAAAAGCGTCTGAATGTAAAAGCGTCTGTGTGTAAAAGCGTCTGTGTGTAAAAGCGTCTGTGTGTAAACGCGTCTGTGTGTAAAAGCGTCTGTGTGTAAAAGTGTCTGTGTGTCAAAGTGTTTGTGTGTAAAAGCGTCTGTGTGTAAAAGCGTCTGTGTGTAAAAGCGTCTGTGTGTAAACGCGTCTGTGTGTAAAAGCGTCTGTGTGTAAAAGCGTCTGTTTGTAAAAGCGTCTGTGTGTAAAAGTGTCTGTGTGTAAAAGTGTTAGTGTGTAAAAGCGTCTGTGTGTAAAAGCTTTTGTGTGCAAAAGTGTCTGTGTGTAAAAGTGTTTGTGTGTAAAGGCGTTTGTGTGTGGAAGCGTCTGTGTGTGTGTGTGCAAGCGTCTGTGTGTAACTGTGTGTGTGCAAGCGTCTGTGTGTGACTGTGTGTGTGCAAGCGTCTGAGTGTAAAAGCTTTTGTGTGCAAAAGTGTCTGTGTGTCAAAGTGTTTGTGTGTAAAAGCGTCTGTGTGTAAAAGCGTCTGTGTGTAAAAGTGTCTGTGTGTAAACGCGTCTGTGTGTAAAAGCGTCTGTGTGTAAAAGTGTCTGTGTGTAAACGTGTCTGTGTGTCAAAGCGTTTGTGTGTAAAAGCGTCTGTGTGTAAAAGCGTCTGTGTGTAAAATCGTCTGTGTGTAAAAGCTTTTGTGTGCAAAAGCGTCTGTGTGTAAAAGTGTTTGTGTGTAAAAGTGTTTGCGTGTAAAAGTGTCTGTGTGTACAAGTTCTGTGTGTAAAAGCTTCTGTGTGTAAAAGCTTCTGTGTCTAAAAGCGTCTGCGTGTAAACGCTTCTGTGTGTAAAAGCTCCTGTGTGTAAAAGGGTCTGGGTGTAAAAGCTTCTGTGTGTAAAAGCGTCTGTGTGTAAAAGTGATTGTGTGTAAAAGCGCCTGTGCAAAAGCGTCTGTGTGTAAAAGCTTCTGTCTGTAAAAACTTCTGTGGGTAAAAGCTTTGTGTGTAAAAGCGTCTGTGTAAAAGCAACAGTGTGTAAAAGCGTCTGTGTGTAAAACTGCCTGTATGTAAAAGCGCCTGTGTGTAAAAGTGTCTGTGTGTAAAAGCGTTTGTGCAAAAGCGTCTTTGTGTAAAAGTGTTAGTGTGTAAAATCGTCTGTGTGTAAAAGCTTTTGTGTGCAAAAGTGTCTGTGTGTAAAAGTGTTTGTGTGCAAAAGTGTTTGTGTGTAAAAGTGTCTGTGTGTAAAAGCGTCTGTGTGTAAAAGCTTCTGTGTGTAAAAGCTTCTGTGTCTAAAAGCGTCTACGTGTAAAAGCGTCTGTGTGTAAAAGCGTCTGTGTGTAAACGCGTCTGGGTGTAAAAGCGTCTGTGTGTAAAAGCGTCTGTGTGTAAAAGTTTGTGTGTAAAAGCGCCTGTGCAAAAGCGTCTGTGTGTAAAAAGTTCTGTCTGTAAAAGCTTCTGTGGGTAAAAGCTTTGTGTGTAAAAGCGTCCGTGTAAAAGCAACAGTGTGTAAAAGCGTCTGTGTGTAAAACTGCCTGTATGTAAAAGCGCCTGTGTGTAAAAGTGTCTGTGTGTAAAAGCGCCTGTGTGTAAAAGCGTCTGTGTGTAAAAGTGTCTGTGTGTAAAAGCGTCTGTGTGTAAAAGTGTCTGTGTGTAAAAGTGCCTTGTGTGTAAAAGCGTCTGTGTGTAAAAGCGTCAGTGTGTTAAAGCGCCTGTCTGTAAAAACTTCTCTGTGTTAGGGGTTCTCTGTGTAAAAACTTGCTCTGTGTAAAAGCTTCTGTGTGTAAAAGTGTTTGCAATGCAAACTATTGTCTTGTACTTGTGCTATATTGTCTTGATACTCCTCTTCTCGACTGCCTATAACACATCTTTAATATATTGTTTTGTAATATGGTGTCTCCATACTAACAAGAGAAGACCCTGCTCCTCTACGCTCTCGGGCCATCCGTCGTCTAGTTTCTTGAGATGATGGATCTTTGTTGCGGCTTGCAGGAGGCTCCGGAAAGCATGGCCGTCAGGGTCGTGGAGGCTTCTTGAAGTTCTGGAACAGTACGAAGCAGTTTGCACATTTTAAAGAGCAAACGGAACATGAAGACTGGTTTGAAAAGCCTTTGGTTCACTATGGTTCACTGTTGCCGCAGAAAGTTTGTCGGATTATGTCGGATTAAAAATTCTGTGTGAACAGGCAATGAGGGCGGTTCAGAAGGACCAAACACGACCAAACAGGGGATTGACTGGATAGTGTACTTTTATGTACTTTTGTTGGATGCCTGCTGAGACTGCAATGACCAGCGTTTGTCTATGTTTGTCTTCTTTCAGGACACGCAGCCAGCGATGGTCACCGAATACCCGATCAAGGCGCACTCTCTCTCTGTCTCTGTTTCAAAAAGCACAAATTGTGGACACCTGGCTTCTCTTTCGCTGAAAGAATTGCATGACAGGTAGTGGATTAATTTGGTGTTGAAATTAATTGACTTCAGCCAGTGCGTAGGTGGCGCATCGAACGAGGGCCGCCGAACCCCAGAACAAGGCACGCAAAGATGTGACCACGAGAAACAAGCTGAAAGTGGTGAAATGTTGAACATGATAATGATAGCAAGGGATACTTGTTCTTTGGCAATGTGGCTCTGCTTTCTCTCCCCTTCATGAGTGAGAGTAGTATTCGATCTTGAATCTTAAGGTTTGATGGTCTTTCCAATTTTAACTGAGATGATGGATCTTTGTTGCGGCTTGCAGGAGGCTCCGGAAAGCATGGCCGTCAGGGTCGTGGAGGCTTCTTGAAGTTCTGGAACAGTACGGAGCAGTTTGCACATTTTAAAGAGCAAACGGAACATGAAGACTGGTTTGAAAAGCCTTTGGTTCACTATGGTTCACTGTTGCCGCAGAAAGTTTGTCGGATTATGTCGGATTAATCATTTCTGTGTGTGAACAGGCAATGAGGGCGGTTCAGAAGGACCAAACACGAGCAAACAGGGGATTGACTGGATAGTACTTTTATGTACTTTTGTTGGGTGCCTGCTGAGACTGCAATGACCAGCGTTTGTCTATGTTTGTCTTCTTTCAGGACGCGCAGCCAACGATGGTCACCGAACACCCGATCAAGGCGCACTCTCTCTCTCTGTCTCTGTTTCAAAAAGGACAAATTGTGGACACCTTGCTTCTCTTTTGCTGAAAGAATTGCATGACAGGTAGTGGATTAATTTGGTGTTGAAATTAATTGACTTCAGCCAGTGCGTAGGTGGCGCATCGAACGAGGGACGCCGAACCCCAGAACAAGGCACGCAAAGATGTGACCACGAGAAACAAGCTGAAAGTGGTGAAATGTTGAACATGGTAATGATAGCAAGGGATACTTGTTCTTTGGCAATGTGGCTCTGCTTTCTCTCCCCTTCATGAGTGAGAGTGGTATTCGATCTTGAATCTTAAGGTTTGATGGTCTTTCCAATTTTAACTGAGATGGTGGATCTTTGTTGCGGCTTGCAGGAGGTTCCGGAAAGCATGGCCGTCAGGGTCGTGGAGGCTTCTTGAAGTTCTGGAACAGTACGGAGCAGTTTACACATTTTAAAGAGCAAACGGAACATGAAGACTGGTTTGACAAGCCTTTGTTTCACTATGGTTCACTGTTGCCGCAGAAAGTTTGTCGGATTATGTCGGATTAATCATTTCTGTGTGAACAGGCAATGAGGGCGGTTCAGAAGGACCAAACACGACCAAACAGGGGATTGACTGGATAGTACTTTTATGTACTTTTGTTGGATGCCTGCTGAGACTGCAATGACCAGCGTTTGTCTATGTTTGTCTTCTTTCAGGACACACAGCCAACGATGGTCACCGAACACCCGATCAAGGCGCACTCTCTCTCTCTCTCTCGCTCTCTCTCTCTCTCTGTTTCAAAAAGGACAAATTGTGGAATTGTGGACACCTTGCTTCTCTTTTGCTGAAAGAATTGCATGACAGGTAGTGGATTATTTTGGTGTTGAAATTAATTGACTTCAGCCAGTGCGTAGGTGGCGCATCGAACGAGGGCCGCCGAACCCCAGAACAAGGCACGCAAAGATGTGACCACGAGAAACAAGCTGAAAGTGGTGAAATGTTGAACATGATAATGATAGCAAGGGATACTTGTTCTTTGGCAATGTGGCTCTGCTTTCTCCCCCCTTCATGAGTGAGAGTGGTATTCGATCTTGAATCTTAAGGTTTGATGGTCTTTCCAATTTTAACTGAGATGGTGGATCTTTGTTGCGGCTTGCAGGAGGTTCCGGAAAGCATGGCCGTCAGGGTCGTGGAGGCTTCTTGAAGTTCTGGAACAGTACGGAGCAGTTTGCACATTTTAAAGAGCAAACGGAACATGAAGACTGGTTTGACAAGCCTTTGTTTCACTATGGTTCACTGTTGCCGCAGAAAGTTTGTCGGATTATGTCGGATTAATCATGTCTGTGTGAACAGGCAATGAGGGCGGTTCAGAAGGACCAAACACGACCAAACAGGGGATTGACTGGATAGTACTTTTATGTACTTTTGTTGGATGCCTGCTGAGACTGCAATGACCAGCGTTTGTCTATGTTTGTCTTCTTTCAGGACACGCAGCCAGCGATGGTCACCGAATACCCGATCAAGGCGCACTCTCTCTCTCTGTCTCTGTTTCAAAAAGGACAAATTGTGGACACCTTGCTTCTCTTTTGCTGAAAGAATTGCATGACAGGCAGTGGATTATTTTGGTGCTGAAATTAATTGACTTCAGCCAGTGCGTAGGTGGCGCATCGAACGAGGGCCGCCGAACCCCAGAACAAGGCACGCAAAGATGTGACCACGAGAAACAAGCTGAAAGTGGTGAAATGTTGAACATGATAATGATAGCAAGGGATACTTGTTCTTTGGCAATGTGGCTCTGCTTTCTCTCCCCTTCATGAGTATTGACAGTGAGATGCATTGGAAGGCGCTTGGATTGAAGCCGGCTGAATGTCATTTAGAGTGGTGTTAGATATTGAGTTTTGAGGTTTGACAGGTTTGTGCAAGAATGGGGAATGCTTCCAAACCCACTGGTTTTGCATGTGTTTCCATTGCTTAATTGCCATCACTTTGCCCCGCTGACAAAATCATGCATCCCCAATCATCCCTATAGTCCCATTATTTCTCAGTAGTTCCGGGCTGTGGTGAGTTTAATCCCCATTGAAATCGCAATTGCGGGACAGCCCCATTAATCTTAAGTATCCTCATTTATGATGGTTTTCCGATTTTCTGAGACTTATTGTTCACAATAAGTCGGTGCCATATTATGGTCACTCATCACTTCTCCCATCAATGGATTCTCCCAGACGGGGGAGGGTCCTGCAAGTTGTTTCCCATGATCCAAGTCTGTCCCATGATCCGTGACCATCCTTATACATTTGTTTTTCTGTATTTCCAATGAAAAAAGGAGGTTAAACTGGTTAGATCATTTTAAATCTATAGATTTCCATGATTGAAATACAACATTCAAGCCATTTCAAGCCTTTCTTTTGGGGCAAGTGACCCATGTCATTTCCGATTTTCCCACCATCGAGGCGGAAAGACAGGTCGCCAGGGCCGTGGACAGGGAGGACAAGGCGGACAAGGCGGACAAGGCGCGGAGCCCCAGTTGAGGAAACCCCTGTTGAAGAAACATGAAGAAACTAGAAGTGAAAAAAAAGTATCCATTAAATAGTAAAGACAAACATTGAATATAGTATATATATATACACATATATCATATATATAATATAATATAATATAATATAATATAATATAATATAATATAATATATAAAATATAATATAATATAATATAATACAAATATAATATAATATAATATAATATAATCGAAGGAAGTTTGGAAGTCAAACTTCCGACAATATGGAGAGATGAAAAAGCAGTCAGCAGTGAGAAGAGTCAGAAGAGAAAAGATCAGAAGAAAGAAGATGCAGGTG